GACACCCTCCAGCCTGTCCACATCTTTTTTGTATAGCGGGGACCAGAACTGTGAGCTACAGCTTCAAGAGAATTTTCGGGGTGGGGGGGGAGGAGGTAGGATGCCTTTTTGGAGAGTAAGCTAACATAGAGGGAGACAACTGGCAGAGTCTTGCTCACACTTGTCTCTAGGAAGCAGCCCTGGAGCAAACCATGCCCAGGCTTCACCCAAAGGAGCTAGTTTCTCTCACCAGAGATCCCAGAATTGAGCTCACGTGAGAGCACTGTTACCAATCCCAGGACCAGGACGTGAGGGTAAACTGTGGGGCCACATAGCTTGACCATGCAGAGGTAGGGACTGGCTACGACAGGGACTGTATCAGCAGTGATTGCTTACACACAAAGGTATTGGGGGTGGCATAGGGTGTTGGGAGGACGTCTTTGCAAGCACACACAAATCTCCGCCCGAGCTTTGCAGCCCGGATTTTTCCGAGCAGAGAGTCCTCAACCTGTCTGCCTGGTACCCCCCCCTGGCTCCCTTAGGCTTCCTGGGGGGCTTTGCTGGGCTGACCGCAGGCGGTTTGGCTGGAGGTTTCTTTTCAGCTGCTTTGCCGGCTCTCAGCAGGATGGCCCAGAAGTCCCTTGCCCCGTGGCGCCGCAGCTCAGATCACAAAGCTCATGTCAGAATGGGCAAACCAGAGGCGGCTGAAATCTGGGCAGCAAGATCTCTCCCTCAGTCTGAATTTGTGCTGTCATTGCTGAAATGGTGTTCTGGGTGTGAGGGCCCAGATTTGAGAGAAAATCTCATGGTTACGATTGACAAGGGTGTTGAAAACATGGAATTTTGTTTTAACAGAAAACCCCCAAACACTGAGGAGGCTTCTTGATTTTGCTTTGACTTAGGGCAGCGGCTCAGCTGTGTCTGAGTAAGAAGGACAGAGTTGCTGGAGGCCTAATGCAGAAGGAAGCCCAGCAGAGCAGGTCCAGTGCATCTTTTCTCTGTGCTGGCTCCAATTAGGGTGGCGAAAGGGAGATGTATGACTAGATGTTTAGTTGGTGGTGAAAGTCTAAGGTGTTGGCTTTCAACCTCCCTGACTTTTGCAATGAGACCCCTATCCAGCGAGTGCAAGCTTTGAGGCAACAGGATTTTTTTTTAATTTTTTTTTTTTTGTTCTTCACTGGATTTTCAGATCACTTCGAAGCAGCTCAAGGGTGTGCACAAGTCGCACGCTCAAAAGCAGTGATCAAAGCTGTTCCAGTGATCGAATATATCAGTATAACCTAAACCAAGGCTGGTTAGCTTTAATTCCACAGTATTTGTCTAGGCTGTGTTCTGAAGAGAGGGAAGGAGCAGAGTTTTCAGAAACAAGTGCATTTTGTTTCTTATTTTTTGCAGTCGCCTGAGATGCCAAGATAAGCACATCTCACTTATTTCCAGATGCATCTAAGAAAGGTTTCAGGACAAATGTTGCTAATACTGGCCGCTAGTTGGCATTATTGATACATCCCAGTAAATGGAGGTGGTGCAATAAAAACTTGGGAGGGCAGCGCTGGGGGAGCTGAGGCGCCCTCCTGCGTGCTCCCCACCCAGCCTTCTCCAGCTCTGGGGGTTGATGGGTTGCGCTGGGTTACAGCCCGGCCAAAGCGAGCTGAAACCACCTGGACACCTCAGCCCTGCGACGCCTTCCCAGCTGAGCCCCCCACCTTTTTTACCCCAGTTTGTTGCTGTCGGTACAGGCTGTGCCGGGTTTCCCGTCAGGAGAAGAGGTGACAAGTGCTTTTGGTCACCACCCTGCCCAGCAGGATTTCTTAGGCTGAAGATGTCTCACAGGGTTTGGGTCACCACAGATGTTACGTAGTGTTTGGGCCAAAAACCAGCTGCTCAAGGTCCATGACATTAGTAATTACAATTTGCAGATGTAGCAATAATTTACCAGTGACTTGCATGGAAGCAGTTTGAGAGCACAAGGCTGCTGGGAGCCAGCTCATCTTGTGCAACCGATGGGTGTGTGTATTTTTGAAAGAGCCTTTTGTTGCAGAGCTCGGTGGAATTAAACTTGTCTTAATCTGCTTTGACTGGGAGTAGATTTATGCCAGAAGACCTGATAAATGAGATGTTACTGATGAAACGGGCATGAGTTGAGGTATCGGAGTGTTGCCCCAAGTGGATTTTTGCTTGGTAAGATGAGAGCAAGTCAGCAATCCAGCCTTCAGCAGAGTAGAAACTTTGGAACAGAAGAGAAAAAGAAATTCCACGCCCTCTTCAAGACAAAAAGCTCATTAAACTGTTTTATAGAATAGTTTTCATTCATACGCAGAGACTAATCTTCAATTAAATCCATTCCAAAATAATTACTGAATAGCAAGGATAAAGGCACTGTCTGCCCCTGCCCGCATGGGGCTTGGGGACCTTTCACGACACAGTGGAACCACAATGAGAAAAATCCACTTCTGCCTTGAAATCTACCCTTAATCCTGACATTTTTAAGGGAATTACAGACAACTACGGTGACAAATCTAGTTTTCTGGATTATAAATTTCTCAGATTCATGTTACCGTTTGCATGTTAAAAGAGAAGCTCCGTTTGCTGTCCTGGTTGGCGACCCTCCCGGCTAGATTAAAACGACCCGCTTTCCTGGCTACCTGGCAGGGATGTGAATGCAGAGGTTGATCGGGCGGATCTGCTTTCGGAAGGCTGGGTGGTGGGTCCTGCCATCGGCCACCGAGCGTTCAAAGAGCGTTTGGGGGTTAAAGGATCCCTGAGCAGCAAGCACTCTCCAACAGGGAAGCACTTAACAGTGTCCACCTAAGGCTAAGGTATCGTAACTGAGACCTAAGGCTTGAAGAACAAGCGAGAAGCATCTCCTTGCACCCTTAAAACATACGGCCTGACTTCACAAATCCTCGCTCGCATAAAGACGTTCACTGAAATCAGGGAGAACACGTGCTTGGGAGGTAGCTGCTGATTAGGGAGTGAGTGAATTTTTACCTGTATTAGACGGTGCTATTTCTGGTACTACTCGGTGTCTGATTTCATTTTATGGATTACATCTGCAAATTTTACTGTGACTGCATAAATTCAATCTATGGCATAAGACGCCAGGCTTTGGAATAGAAAACTGCCTAGCTAATTCCCATGAAACCCTTCCTTTGCCTGGCAGCGGAAGAAATATTTGAATAACATAAAGCAATTCCCTCCTGCCTCCTCACGGGCTGATTAATATAATTCCATGTTGCACCTGTCCTGTGTTTTTTAATACAGTTAAAACCTGTATAATATTCTAAATTATAGACCTCCAATTTGCATAATATACTTTAGAAATACCGTGTTGCTTTACGACATATTTTTGGGGGCAGCTGTGGTGCTAAAAACACCTAATCGCAACCTTACATGGCCCAAACCGAGGAAAGCAGGAATATTTGTTTGAAAAGTAGAAATCTCGAGAAGTTTCCCCCGTGAATACTGGAGATAACTCAGTAGTGTTGTTAACAGTAATCGCAGGCACGTTGGTTTCGCCCACTTTTCATTTCGGCATTGCATTGCTTCCCCGCTTCCCCGCGCCGGCCTCGACCGAGAGAGGCTTTGCCACCGCCGTATGGTGCAACCTAAAACCAAAATAACTTCTGCGCCTGCCCCCGGCCTGCTGCACGCTGGGGTAACAGAGGAAGCGAGGTGACTCATCTCTGTTGTGAGTAACCGCTCACGTTCCCCGCCTCTCTGGATGCTGCCCACTTGATGCACATGGCCAAAAATTCCCCACGCTCCCAAGCCCCCGTTGCCGGAGCCGCGGCCGGGCAGGAGTGGGGCCAACGCTCTGTCACCGTCACACCTGGGGCGAGGGGTTCATGCGCGGGGGGACGCAAACCTGCACCCAGCAGGGGCTGGAGGCCCCGGGGCGATGCCCACGGTTTCC